CGGAAGAACATTTTTTAACAACATCCTACGCAATGCACCAGAACAAAACGCAGCAGATCGAATGCCTCCCCCCGAAAATGCGACTCCTGCAGATTTTTGAGAGCGGCTAGTTGTGGAACCACCGCTTTGCTCAGTTGCTTGCATGGCCCTATCGCGTTGATCAAAGAATTTCGAATGGCCTTCCACCAAGCCACTGGGTGTGCCGGGAGGTGATGCCTTCGTCAATGGTATGCTCTCGGAGTCTGGAATCACAACAATATCCTCAGCACCTGATTGCGTTTCTGCCATCTCTGTCAAAAATGTAAGTTCCCTTAGTACACCACGTTCCACATTAGAACTAGAATAATACTGAAAAAACTTTAAGCTGATTTGTATACAAAGAACACAACTACACATTACTGGCGTAACAGATGAACGACACATGAAACAAACAAACAAATTCATTACAAACATCAATCTGCTGCATAAAAGTTCTAAGATTATGTTTCATCGCAGGAGAACGCATGTAAATTCAGTCCACACGATTTTCATTGTCTTTTGAGGAATGAGAAAAGCAGAGGTTAGAATAGGAATGTTCGGTCATCCACTTTAAAGTCATCTCTAAATTGCTGAATAAATTAATCGGAGTGGTGACAATTTTTTCTATGTCGAGAGCGTCTTCTACCTTCACTAACTTTAGTTTGTGAAATTTAAAAAACACGGTTGAAGCGATTAACTCCTAACGGTATATAAATAAATTTAGTAGAAATCGTGACTATGTACTACAATTTAGGATTTAGTTATTCACTCCTTTCAAATTCTTGTATGGCCCTTTTTAACTCTTTCCCAAACGTTATTATACTTATTACAGGTCCTGGATTGCAGTTAAAAAAGTTTTGACGGTATGCAATCCATAACATACAGATTAGTTTACGCAAAAAAATTTTGAATGAACTTTTTGTTCGTGCTTTAAGTCACGCTACACTTCTAAAAATAGCACAATATTACGATATCATTGAATGTTTGAGGTCAAGCTGCACTCGTGCAGCTCTGCACGAAATTACTCTCTGTCTTGCCCTGCGATGTTTTTGTGGATATATCTTGACATCGTGAGGTTTCAGTTAAAAAAATGCTACAGTTTAATATCTGTGGCTTTAACACCGTCTCAGATATTTGTTCCATGCTATACCATTAGTGAAATTCACATGTTAAACCACTGACTAAAAGAAATGTTCGAACAACTAAGGAAATTACGATAAATTTAGTAGAAATCGTGACTATGCACCACAACTTAGGATTTAGTTATTCACTCCTTTTAAATTCTTGTATGTCCATTTTTAACCCTTTCCCAAACGTCATTACACTTATTGCAGGTCCTCGATTGCAGTTAAAAAAGTTTTGACGGTATGCAATCCATAGCATACAAATTAGTTTACGCAGACAAATATTGAATGAACTTTTTGTTCGTGCTTTAAGGG